TGGAAGAGTCAAAATAAATGGATTCTTTCCTTTGGAATATATTTGAGATTAGTCAGAATGTGGCGTAAGTGAATGAATATCATAAGATATATACTTTAAGTGGCCTTTTCCATTCCATTGCTTCTACCAGACACAAACCTTCTTTATGTGGCGCTCCCAGTGTAAAAAGTCCATTGTCAAGTGCATGTATGTAGGTTCCTTTATCCATTTCAATAGCTATGGTTCCTGAAATTTCACCAAAGTTTGTTACTGTCCACCAGATTCCTAAAAAATAAAATCAGTAATTTAAATTTATATTTTGGATTTGATAGAAGGTCCTTAGTTGTTGCTGTTGTTGTAACTTACTTAAAATTTGTTTAGTTTGCATTTGTAATAATACAGGGAGATCTCATATACCCTTTACTCACTTTCTCCCAATGGTAACATCTTGCATAACTGTAGTACAGTATCAAGACCAGGAAACTGACACTGATACAATTCATGAAACTTATTCAGCTTTCATCAGTTTTACATGCACTCATTTGTATGTTTGTATGTGTGTGTGTAGATGTAGGTGACTACCACCATAGTCAAGATTAGGGTCTTTTAAAATATAAAACAGCAGAACACGGGAAGGCACAGAATGATTTACAGAGAACAGTCTCTCATTTCAGACTCCAGCCATCCATGACTGCTTTCCAAAGGCAATGACTATAACCTGTTTCTTATGTATCCTTCCAGATTATAATTACAATTGCCAAGACTGATGTCAAGGAGCATATTGCCTATATTTTCCTTCTAGGTTTCAGACCTTACATTTAAGTCTAATTCATTTTGAGTTGATTTTTGTGTATGGTACAAGATAGCGGTCCACTTTCATTCTTTTGCATGTGGCTGTCCAGTTTTCCCAACATCATTTATTGAAGAGGATGTCCCTTCTTTACTGTATACTCCTAGCTCCTCTATTGTAAATTAATTGACTATATATGCATGGGTTTATTTCTGGGCTCTCTATTGTGTTCCATTGATCTATGTATCTGTGTTTATGCCAATACCACCACTGTTTTGATTACTATAGCTTTATAATATAATTTAAATCAGGAAGTGTGATGCCTCCAGCCTTATTCTTCTTTCTGTATATTGCTTTATTTGGGATATTTTGTGGTTCCATACAAATCTTACAATTGTTTGTTCTACTTCTATGAAAAATGCCATTGGAATTTTGATAGGCGTTGCACTGAATGTGTAGATTGCTTTGGGGTAGTACAGACATTTTAATAATATTAATTCTTCCAATTCACTAGTATGGAGTATCTTTTCTGTGTGTCTTCTTCAATTTCTGTCATTAATGTCTTACAGTTTTCAGTGTACAGGTCTTTCACCTCCTTGGTTAAATTTATTCCTAGGTATTTTATTCTTATTGATGCAGTTGTAAATGGGATTATTTTCTTAATTTCACTTTCTGGTGGTTCAGTATTAATGTATAGCAATGCAACAGATTTCTGTATATTCATTTTGTATTCTGCAACTTTATTGAACTCGTCAATCAGTTCTAACAGTTTTTTGGTGGACTCTTTAGGGTTTTCTATATATAATATCATGTCACCTGTAAATAGTGACATTTTTACTTCTTTTCTCATTTGGACATCTTTTATTTCTTTTCTTTGCCTCATTGCTCTGCCTAGGACTTCTAACACTATGCTGAATAAAAGTGGCAAGTGTAGGCATCCTTGTCTTGTTCCCCATCTTAGCGGAAAAGCTTTCAGCTTTTCACTGTTAAGTATGAACTTAAACTGTATCTAATTTTTGTTGGGTCTGATAATAATATATTATTATATTTTAAAAGAGTTCTTTCTCTCTTCTTCCTTCTGTTTCATAACTAATAAAAATTAGTAGAAATTTTAGCTTACTTTCAGATCCTTGCATGGAATCAACAGAACAGCTTCACAAAATTAAAAAAGATTTCCCCCCTCCCCCAAAATATATTGTTATTTGTGTAGGAACCTTGGGAAACTGTGAATGTATGAGAAGGTGGGAGGACAAGGAGAAGAGGACAGAGTGACTTCC